AAAATGTCTCATGTTGGGTTCCAGCCGGTTGAAAATAACAGTCAAAAGTTTCATTTTTTGCCAAAAATAATGGCAAACAAACGAGGGCTTAATAATTTGTTAAAAGAGATTATCTAATATGAGAGAAATAAAAATAATTAAATATATATTTGTTTTACTAAACACGCACGTATCAATCTTATTAGTAGCACCTTCAAGTTTTAACATAATCATAATCAATCCACTGGGTTATATTATCAGTTAAAAAGGACGACGACGACCAAGGCAAAATAATCGACTTAGGAAAACTCGCTCATGATTGGACCAATTTAACTTACGAGTGCCACATCAACATCCTCTCACGCCTCTCTTTGGTGGACTGATGGCGGAGGGCCATGCGGATGTGTAAGGCGTGGCTGTAGGCATGCAAGGACTCGTGCCTCAACTCGGTGTTCGACCTCGAGACTTATTTTGATCCGGCCATTGAGTTCTGGACCCCCGTGTTCGAACGCAGGGTCGATAACATAATTCGATCCATCTTCATCTAGAGCGATGGGTCCCTCATCGAAATCCGTGTTGGACTCCACTCAGATCGCTCCGTCTACTTGATTGCTCAGAGGTATGTGTGGTTAATCAGAAAAAGAAATATAATCAATATATATTCACTATCATTCTTAATTGTAAAAGTACTTTCTGCTTGTTCAATTTATAAAAAAAGATCATTTTCATGATTCTGTTGCTAACTGTATGTATTTTATTTTTGTAGGTAGAGTTTTTCATATGAGCAATGCTATTCATCCCCATTGGGGTTGCATTCCCAATCTAGGTGGCGTTAACGTGACATTAAATGATAGGTGAAATTAAATAAGCCAATCATTTAATGCCACCTAGACTGAGGATGCAATCCTACTGGGGCTACATAGCATTATTGTTTTCATATGCTTGGTGTTGACTATTCTAGGTTATATTACTGGGATCATTTATGCTCTCATTGATTGCGATCGGTTCCGTGACAATTACTATCAACTTGCTTAGTACTAAATTGACTACTGTTCTCGATTTTCTCATACTTCACCATTGTTATTTGTGGCGGATGTGTAATATTTACTGTGTGATTGAATTTTAATGGTGTTGTTGACATACAAAAAGTGTAGCCCAAATTGAACAGTTCAATGAATGAAGCCCAATTAGGAAATCCAGGATGAAGGCCCAAATAGAACCATTATGGAATGCAGTGAAGACCCACGAACAAAGTACCATCATCGTCTAAACTTGCAAGACGCCCATGATCTGAGCGAATGGAGTGCCTTACTGTCGCCCAGAGCGATAATCTCGTTCTCACCCAAACCTTTGAGTCGCCCAGGATTTGAGTAAATATAAGGTATTATGGTTATCCAGTATGGCAGTTATTGAAACGGTTATTTAGCAACCTTATCACACCCCACGATCCAAGAATTTCAGTTGCAGGCAGTTAAACGACAAGAGTAATGACAACAGTCAGAGACGGCAGTTACATGACAAGTTAGCCATCATGAAGAAAGTGGGTAGTTGTAGAGCACCAAGCAGTTTCCATGCAGTTTATCACAAAGAAACTATCAAATGTGTATAAAAAGGAAAAAAAGAC